TGAGGATAAGCACATAGTGGGTGCTTGCTCTGGTGACCTAGTTGATGTTATCCGTTGCTGAGCAGGCAGAGGTTGGGGGACCATATCTGCTGTCCTGGGGCTTGGGTCTTACTAGAGATCTTCGCCTCCCAGCCTCCACTCACTGTAGGAAAGCCTGGCTGGGCATGCTATACTCTACACCCTGTTCTTCCTGTGGGAATGGGCCCTGCATGCCACGTGAAGGGGACCAAGTGAGTATTGTACCAGTGTGGGCAGCCATGATGATTCAGCCCTCCAGCCCTAGGTAGCCTCCCGGGCTCCAAAGACGGAACGGGTGCCCCCTCTTGGAACCTGCACCCATCTTCTTGCAGGGAGGTTGGAGGAGGGAAGGTGGGATTGTTCTGGGGAGGGTTTCCAGGGTTGCTCATAATACAAAAGTGATCATGAAAAAAATAGCATTTTTGTTCTCATTGCCTGTAAGGCACATCAGTAATTCAGCCTGCAAAATACGTGCTGTGCTCAGACATTTCAAGGATCTGACTTTTCTGCTCATAGTCCCATTTTCCAGACTGTATCTGTACAATATTCATTAATGGGTGCTGTTAAAAGGGTCTTTAGCATTAGGCTGAATGAAGCATAAAGCGCATATTTTCTTTTCATTCTTCTAATACTTTTAGGAGGAAAGGAGGCATGTTTGTGCTTGTAAACGATTCTATTCATCAGAATGGCGGATATCTGCTAGTTGTGCAGCTAAAGGCTGAGTCCTTTGACCTCTAAGTGATTTTTAACATGCTTTATCCGACCAGTTTCCTGCGCTCAGTGTAGCCATTAGGGACCTAGCCTGGAGGAGGGTGAAGGATTGCACAGTGTGCTGTTTGTTTAGAAAAGGAAGGTGGACCCAGGAAGGTCAGAACTTGGCCTCTCCAGAAAAACTAGACTTCCTTGCCTCTAGGCTTATCGGAATGGTGAGCACACACCAGTGGATTTTCTCTGAGCAGGACCCCCATATCCGTAAGTAACTCCCATTAGGAGGTGCACAAACAGGTGTGATTTGTCCAATGGCTGAACCCAGGAATTCTTGAGTGGTTGGGCTGGGACAAAGGGGTAGAATGTGCCTAGCAATTAAAGGGTGACTTAGGGTCCACTTCCTCAGAACCTGGGTGTTCCAGGTGCAAAAGCAAGCATTAAAAAAAAAAAAATCTGTTCCTTATTGCTTGGGAGTGAGAGTTACACAGTTATGAAAAATGTCTTGTGTACAGACAGCCTGTGAACACCTCCCTGGGTGAATCTTCATTTCACAATCTGTTGCTCTCCACTTTGCTATTCCTAGGGTGTCTCGGCAGGAGAACCCCATCACTTCGTCTGGGTGGAGGTCGTGAGGGAATAAGCTGGGCAGGTGGTTGCTTCCAGGTGCCCCCGCATCTGACCGTGCTGTGCACACTCCTACGTTCCTGCTGTTCTTTGGGGGAAGCCTGGGCAGTGTTCTCCCCAAAGCCTGATAGAGCGTGACTGGGACTGGTGTGTATTCGTGCATGCTTCTGCATTCAGGAATCCTGATAGACTTAGTCCCTGGAGCCACCTCTGAGCACGCCTGAGGAGGCCCCAGGGGAGGTTTTGGACACACTGAGGCAGCCGTACACCTCTTTGGTCATCGGACTGTTGGCACCTACTCGTTGATTTGAGGCCCCTTAGAATCAAATCTGATTGTAGAAACTCAATCATAGCCTTAAAAAATGTTTCAAGTCTTTTATTATGTTCAGAGTACTGTGCTAGGCTAGGGAGATAACTATAAAGGAGACAGAGGTGGTCCCTGTTCTCACGGAGTATCAGTTTTTATTTGATGTCTAAGGACATAGACTGCTGTGAGCATGGAGTGGGCAAATGGTCAGACTGTGGGTGGAAAGTCACCAGCTTAGGAGCTGTTTACATCCCGGCTCCAGATGTCAGAGTGGAAGTTCATCTGATTGGAGAAGCATGCTGGGTACCCACCACTTTCTGGGCTAATAATAACACAACGTGGGAACTTAGGAAGCCACTTAATGTACACTGGGATGTCTTTGTTGTGTCTCATCTTAAAAACAGGTAAAAGTTTTACTGATAGATAGGTTTTTGTTTCTGGAAGTAATGTTCTGATAGTAACCAAAATGTAGTTTTGTTTTCTCTTTTTAATGGTTAGCTGTGACTATCATGAAATAATTTATATATATCATATTGGATTATATATATATATATATATACACCTCACAGATACAATATATTCTGCCAAAAAAATGTATATATCAGGAAAAGAAAAACTTGTATAAATATTTTAATACTAAATTCATTGAGAGGTCATGAGATTAATACAAATTACCTTTGGCTTCTACAGTTACAAGTAGTACTCAAAATGGTGGCCATTAGCTTGCAGATATTTTTTTTTTTTTTTTTTTTCTCTCCGGTACCCGGAACCAAACTTATGACCTTGCGCTTGCCAGGCATGCGCTTTTGCTGCTGAGCTAAATCCCCAGCCCCGCTTGCAGATATTTGTTATAATGAACTACTGAAGTGTGTATATATTTTTTGGTAGTCTCCCTCTCTCTCTCTCCATATATATGTGCTTGCATTATAATTGTAAAGGTTTGAATCACAAATGTGCGACTGTGTATGTGCTTTCATTTATCTCTCAAGAACAAGGTTGTCAGGACAGGAAGTCTTATTCCTGAGCCCCCTGGGGCTGCTCGTCCCCTGGGCCTCGCCTGTCTGTGTGCTGCAGACAGAAGGCAGAGGGAAGAGATTGTATTCTCCATTTAGAAGCAGAGACGAGAGGCCCATTCAGAGGAGATAAGCACTTTTCCCAAGATGGCAAGAAAGTCTGGAGTGGAATCCATAGGGCTCTTCTTGGTCTCTCTTTAGGATACAAGCTCATCTTTGTTGATTTTAATAGTTTACCTTGGAACCTGTATAGTATTTTAATTTTCTCTACCCACAAATAAAAAAACATGTGTTTTTAAAATTATGAACTATTTGAGGCACATAAAGCCACACGCGCGCGCGCGCGCACACACACACACACATATCTATATATATATCTACTACTCATCTTGAGAAGTTAGATACAATTATAGTTACAGGTACAGACACCAGGGAAACCCATGCCTTACCTTTAATCCTGTTCTCTTCTCCCTCTGGGAAATCTCTGTGCTGAATTTGATATTTTATCATTTCCATGTGTGATTTATGTCTTTATTGTGTAGTTTTATTTTATGTGATTTAACTGTTGGCACATGGCGCAGTTACAGTATATGCATTCTAGCAATATGCATGTGATATTGCTTTGCTGATTTAAAGTTTTTGTAATTGATGTTATACCATATGCATCTTTGGCCAGCTTGCTTTTTTTTTTTTTTTTTTTAGCTCAGCATTTTACTTTTGGGATTTAAAAAATATCAACTCATGTAACTCTTACTAATTTAAACTGCTAAATGCTTTTACATTGCATGCATAGTACATAGTTATTTTATTTATTCTTTTGATGGGCATTTGGGCTTCTCATTTTTTAAATAATCAATGATGCCTCTGTGAACTTTCTCTCAAACAGCTCCTTAGCACATGAGTGAGTTCCTCTCAGCTCTAAGCTGCCATGAGTAATTCCATTCCGGCTGGAATTACTAGGTGGAGTTTTGTGTGTACCCTGACACTGACAACATTTTGCCAAACTGCCATCCTTGGTGGCCATGCCATGTCACCCTGAGGTGTGTGCAGGCTGCCATGGTTCGTCCAGCGTTTGGTATGGTTGGACTTTCACATTTGTAATAGATCTGTTTTAGAGTCTGTTTCCTCCCTCAGCCATTTCCTTTCACATCACAGCATTGGAGCTTAGTTTAAAATTAGCCTACTTCCTAACTTACCTTATCAAACGGCCCTTGTTACAGAGTCTCCGTGAGTGAAGTAGATAGACCTCACTGTGAGCCCGTGCCCCGTTGGCTGCCTCAGCTGTACCTGTGGGCATAGCCCGGCAGCACAGGGTATGGCTGCAGAGGAAGGAAACTTTGGGCCAGCGCTCTGTGGCCCCTTGTGCTCTAGGGTAACTCTCACACTCTGCTGGGACTCAAACTGGCATCTTTGCTTCTGCACGCTGTCTCTTCCTGGGTGGATCAACCTGGGCAGGGCAGGCTTATCTGTTCTCTAAATGTGCCCAGCCCTGTTTAGAGAAAACTCAAAACCAGTAGCCTAACACTATATTCCGTAAAAGGAGAGGGTGGCTGTACCCTGTGGCTGGGAAAACTGAACCATGAGGTCCACAGCCCTGCCTTTTGTGAACAGAAGCTGAGCTGTCCCTGTATAGGCAGAACATGTCAATGTAGGCTCACCCTGGGTGTATGCAGAGATGCTGCAACCTGGAGGAACCCTCATGCGGAGGGGCATTCATGCATCCCAGCTGGCTGTCTTTTTCTTAGCATGACTCTCTTTTAATCACTAGTAGGAATAACTCATGGAGGCCAACCTCTAACACCTGTCACGTTGACTGCCAGGTGCTCTGCTAAAGGCTCGATAAGCTTTAACTTGTTTAGTCCTGTAGGGCTCCCGTAAAGTGGGTAAGGTAGTGATCTCTACTTTTGGGCTCAGAGGAACCAGGGCTCCATACTGCTGCTGTTCAGACCCATCAAGCCTGATAGCCCGGGTCCTGCTTTGTTTTTAGTTGAGCTGTAACTTATGTAACACAAAATGCCTCATGTTAAAGTGTGCGGATTCAGTTTCTTTTTTTTTTTTTTTTTTATGGTACTGGGAATTGAATTCATGACGTCGCACTTGCTAGGCAGGCGTTGGGCCGCTGAGCTATATCCCTGGCCCTGAGTTTTTGAGACATTCACAACATACCACCATCTACTCCCAAGAATGTTTTCTGTTACCCCCCAAAGAAACCCCTGTCACTTTCCTTCTGCCTTCCCCTGGTCCTGGCAACCACTGATCTACTCTGTTTTACAGATTTGCCTCTTCTGGACACCTCATATAAATGGAATCATAAAGAATGTGGCCTTTTTTTATCTGACTGTTTTCCCTTAGCATGATGCTTCCAAGGTTCATCCATGTGGTAGCATGTAGATAGCATGTGTCAGATTTCAGTCACCTGTAGTACGCTAGTGTTTTGTCTGCCCATTGTTGCTTGATAGACAGGTGTTTGGATTGTTTCCCCTTTTGTGCTGCTATGAATAATGCTGTTTTGGACTGTGTGTGTGCGGGTTTTTTGTGTGGACATGTGCGATCATATTTTTGGGCATATGTGTAGGAGTGGAGTTCCTGCAAGAGCCTCTGCCTTGAACCCGCGTGAGGAAGTTGTCGTTTCCATTTTGCAGTGAGAAGATTGAGGTCTCCAAGTGTGAAGCGCCCTTGGAGTGCCACACAGTGCATGAGTAATGGGAACAGGAAGGCTACTGCCAGGACCCTGACTCAGAAACTGCGTCCTTTCCACCATGTTCCCCCTGGCTCTCACATGGTACAGTTCAGGGAGACAGGTCCAAGTGGGGAGAGGCTGAATGCTGAGGGGCAGAGCTGGCTGAGGGTCATCCAGGTCCTTAAACCCCATCTTCTGCTCCTCCTCAGCATGGCTCCCTGGCTTGTGTTTGCCCACCCACCTCACGCCCACCGCTCGGTGCCGACCCCTTCCACATGGGGAGGAAATTGGTCGATAGTCATTTACAGTGAGATATTAGAGGTTTGTTCTGTTTTTCAGATTTCTTCTTGTGCCTTTGTTTGTCCCTCTTCTCATCCTTGCTTGCGTTTAACGGAGGGCCGCTAGGCAAGGCAACCCGACCCTGAAAGAAGATCCCAAAATACCCTTAAGATGACCTCTGCCTGCCATGCTGTGAACAACTGTGGGTTTCATCGATTGATTGACACGTGGTGTTTGCCTCTGGCGGAATCATCCACCCCAGTTCTCTCATGGATCCGGGTGCCTTCAGGATGCTGTCTGGGGGGGGAGGTGAATAGAGTTGGTGACTCGGGGCACAATAGAAATAAAAACACCACTTCACTTTTGCAGTGTTCAGGGCATCCTGTCCCAAAAATATTACTCTGACATTTGAGGGGCGGGGACATAGCTCAGCAGCATAAGTGCTTGCCTGGCAAGCCTGAGGTTGTGAGTTCAATACCCAGTACCAAAAAAAAAAAAAAAAAAAAAAAGGGGGGGGGGGTGCAGAAACCTGACCTTAAGAGAAACAAATTCAAAAGTTTCAAAAAATGTTTCAAGGCAAAATAACACCTATTTTTTGGGCAGGGAGGGTATCGGGAATCAACTCAGGACCTCATGCTTGCCAGGGAGATCCTGCACCACTGAGCTAAATCTCCAGCCCCAGTACCACCTATCTTTAAAAAAGTAAAATAAACTGGGCCTTGCCTTTCTCCTGTAAGATGGGCCTTCCTTCCACGTGTAAAATGAGCTATTATCTTTCTACTTATGGGCGGGTCAACCCAAACTTTCGTAAATTCACAAATTCCATAAATTTCCACTACACAAAACCATACCGGCTCCAGTCCATAACGTGCCTCTCACCTT